AATCTTGGCCGTCCCCTGGGCCTTTTGCCGGTCGGATTTGTAAGGAACAGTTGCTTAGCCTTCCTTTCCGCAGGCATTCGCAACACATGCCCAAGCCATCGCAGTTGTGACTTCTCAATCTGGAGAAGCAAAGGCTGTATACAAAGGCTCGTCCGGATTATTTATTTCATATTTTTCTGAAATTGTTTATTTCAGATTTATTTGTAAAAGCCAAATGTTTTTTATTGACTTCGTGTTTCTGCCTCCGTGGGTTCAACATTTCGCACTGTCAGTTCAGCAAAGCTCGAATCTTAAGCATGACAAATTTCACTTAAGTGAAGAAGTATGTCATAAAGCCAATTGCTCTTTGTGAACGAACCTGAAATCGAGCTTAGCACATGATAATCTACTTTGGTTTATTTACTTTGCCATCTGTTTCTTTTACTGTTTTCAGTGCAGATCGAATCCAGGGCCAGTATATAGTCCAGTTCTCGACTTATTTTGCCACTTGCCACAACACTCCGTGAGCCGGGATAGCTGACTATTAAGTTATATATGCGCAAAGTGTAATTTTAAAAAATATAGTGTATGAGATGTTACAGAAAGTACTCCGCCATCTAAGCATTGCATAGTGGTTTAGGAGTCTACTTATCTGTTATCTCGCTAAAGTCAAGAACATTAAGTATTTCTACATTTTAAATGGCGTAGTTGAGTAGCTAATGCCTGTCTTCCGGTTTCTGTCGCGACTCTATACACCGGGCAATAAGCGATATGAACTTTTGCTATGTTTTTTAGTGAGTATTCACGTCTGGATCTTAATTGATAGATGTATGGCTGGAATCTCTGGCTGCTGTCTTCTTTAAGAACTTTCTTATATCTCGCAATCATTTCTTATACTTTCGGTTGGGTTTCGACTATGCATCTACTTCCTTGATGGTCGGTATTTTTACAGCCTTTTTCATGGGGCTTATGACAGATATTGACCTAGGATCGTTAGGATTAGGATTTCAACTAGGATTTCAGTTTTTGAAGGTAGCATTTACAACTTGAGGAAGTTACAGTGTGTGTGCTTTGCCACTTCCTTCCCATAATATACTGCACACTTTTTTGACATAGGAAAAATAAAGGACAATTCCTCCGAACTAGCGTTCGATTCATGATCTTTCGATTGTGATTCCGATGCTTTACTGATTGAACTACTCGGGAGTTTCAAAAGTTATACTTCATAATATAGATACTGTAACTATAAATACATAACATAACCATCCATCATCTTGTGAAATATAAATATTATTAGTTCGACCCATGTATCACAATGCATTAAATGCTACAATGAAACTTTTAGTTATAAGCATGCCATTGACGGAATCTGGCGCGTTTATAAAGAGGAAGGTGTTAAGAGTCTGTTTAATGGCGCAACGATGGCAACGCTTCGAGCTATCTTCATGACTATTGGACAGGTACCTTTTTGAGATTTTACATTTTTTAGGATTCTGCTTGGTTTCTTACGAGGACGTTCTAATAACTTAAAGGATTTATGTTAGCAATTCGTAGGTGTTAATAATTAATTAATTTACTGCTTTTAATTTCTTATGCTGAGTTATTGACATTTAAAGTTTGGTTAATTTCTTTCTGTGACTGATATTTCAAGTTTTATATGGTCATTTCCTGTTGTGTCCAGTGACCTTTAGAGTATATCAGTGGACTTGGTGTTGGCCGTATAGAATATATCGTAACCTTTACGCCTGTGACTACATCATTTCTAGACTGCAAATTAAGTCAGTTAAGATGCATGAGGGAACTGACTATAATGTCATTAGTCGGCATGCATCTATTTTGTTTAGTCCGTTGCTCACGAAGCCACCATCATCTCCGCACCATTGAAATCGGCCAACGCCTGGATTTTGGCGCTTTATAACATGGTGAAATATAACGTGGTGTACTGTTTCTAATCGCTACGGTGCACTGAAGGCCTGTTTAGCTGTATCTGGTACCTGCGAGGGAGAGGGCTAACAAAGGTGAGAGGTGTTGATTAAAATCCGTTTATCTTCACAGCAGATTTGCATTTAACAATAGTTTGAATACAAGACAAAAATAATCGGTTATTGGAGCGGTCAGCGGTATTTTTCCTTAGTAGAAGATGATTATATCCTGCTGGCTACCCCTGAGACAAGTAATGTGGTTCGCCGTTAATGTTATTGCTGAATCGTGTGTCAATATTTGTTCCTTTACTGTTGCTGCTTTAGAGCAATTCTTAACCGATGCACTAAAAGTGTCTTAATTTAGCTGGCTTTCTACGACCAGTTTAAGCAGCTTCTGCTGTCAACCCCGTATTTCCATGATAATTTGGTGACTCACTTTTCTGCAAGCTTACTCGCCGTAAGTTGCCATATGGGATATGATGAATTCTGTTGTATATATGCCTTTTCTAGGCCGGTGTCGCTACTACCATAACACAGCCGTTAGATGTGATGAAGACTAGAATGATGAACGCGAAGCCCGGTGAATTCCGAGGCATTTTCGATTGCATGATTTACACTGCAAAAGTCGGTCCTCTAGGCTTCTTCAAGGTACAATAGTAAAAAATATACGTATTTTGTTATGCTAGCATAAGGACTTCAATGATGAATATTGAAGTAGTTATTCACACCATTCAAGATGGTATAGGGGGATAGTGCTGAATTGATTTTGAAGTTTTTGCGAACATCCTAATTACGTAACTGTTTCTTTTGAATAGTTAGTTATATTGATGGGCATGAAAAGGTATCATATAAGTTTAAATAGAATATGCAGTTATAACGCAGGAATTGTGTAATGTCAGAAGATTAACCCTTTTTGTTTTAATCTTTTGATGTTGATTTATTTTTAGGGTTACGTTCCAGCATTCATCAGACTGGCTCCACAAACGATCCTAACGTTTGTTTTCTTCGAACAGCTGCGCATGAATTTTGGATTTTTCCGCACCACTCCTGAAACTTCATCGAAATAGTCCTTTCATTGCTTCTAAGAGGCAGTCGTGGGTCTTGAGTTGAATCAATCAGTCCGACTCAGTATTGCATCCAGTTTTCATTAGATCAATGAAAATTTTCTTTTCACTTTTAAAGCTTCTGAATGCTGGCTAGTTTAATTTTGTTTCTTGTTTTGAAAGCGTAGTTTTTGGAGTCGTTGAGTAGTGACCTAAAAAGAATGTAACTCATGTTTTTAAAAGTACTGTCCAGCAGTTTTTGTGCATCATAAGGAATATTATTCCAGTTAACTGAAAAACAGAAATTCATGCTTTATATTTCATACTAGAACCTAAAACGACACGAGCAGAACCGTGCCAAATGCACTTTGATAATTTAATCGTGTTTTCGACAATTTTACACTGCGACACTCTTTACAGAATTCATGTAATGTTAAAAGAGAACCAAACCTTGCCGCTGACAGAATGGAAGCAAGAACTTGCATAATTACACTTTAGGTTAAATAATACAAGATTGCTCATCAGTTGAACGTGGGAATTACGTGCTCTATTGCCTCTATGCTTTGTTGTAAAAGACTTATGGGTTAGGAGTCAGTAGCAGTTTGGCAGCATCCTTGAATTTCACTAAGTCTCTGAACGGAAGTCCTTGAAGAAATACTTGATGAATAACATCAAGATACGTAAAGAGAGTATATTACTTTTTATGCCTTGGACTCAAACCTGATCAAAGACCACACCAATTTTACGACGTATTGTAATGCCCCCTTGCGCCTAGTGGTGTAGTTATCCATTTAAATAGGTGACGGCTTCATAGCGTTTGAACAGTTGCAGTACCACGTGTATTTCTTATTATTCTGTTCGTTAGAGCTACCTGGAACTCGTTAAGAACGGTGTTTCAGGAGCCTATATTCTATACATGGTACCGCATAAACATTAAAATATATTCGTATGTCGGAATAAGTTAGAAAACTCATGATTCTTTCACGACCGTGTTTCCAGAAGATTTCTTTGTAGTAGCAGGTCGTGCTTTCGTATCTTCATCTAATAGAGACTTTTGTAGTGTTCTAAATGTGTTGATCGCTTTCGCTTAGGGCAGTCTTTCAACTGATTCGTGTTTTTGAAGAATCATATTTTTTTGTCGTTCTTTTCTGTTGAAAGCTATGGTCATGCTCCGTATATTCAAGTAGTAAAATACATTAATTACATCAATCATTACGTTAAATCTGTAGTTTAGATATAATCTGTAAACACTTTACAACGAAAAGGATTGAGCATATAATATACAATTAAAGAAACCAATTATATGGGACGCGTGAACATTAACAGCTTTCCTGTGGACGGAATGCCACTAAGCAAACCGTCTGGCAAATGTTTCATGGTATGTCAAAGCATGCTGAGGAAAAGGGCCTGTGAACGAGGTAGAGGCGATAGAAAATGAACAGATACCCGTTTCCTATCAATTAAAGAAGATGGCAGCAAAAGTAGATAGAAAAGAAAGGCCTGGATAGAAAAAATAAGACCATTCATAACAGACTTTACACTGCATATTTTTCCGTCTACAAGCAAACCAGAAAACTGTATGATACAAACCAACCATGCAAAATCGAACTGTTAATCAGTGCACATCAATGGGTTCCCTTCGACATCCTTTGCTAAAAATATTTACAGACAAGTGAGGCAGTCGCGCTTACATATGGTGTTGATCAGTGGCTTCAGTTCGATGTCGTCGATGTCACACATGCGGCTGAACTCGAACGATTTGCATATCTTCAGTTCTTCGATGGTGCACCCTTAAATGAAAACATGGCGTCGAATTGACAACGGTATTTAGCACAGGTTGAGGTGGTGGATGGAGGCAGCGGCCTAGCAGATAGCTTTGCACTTTATTGGGTATGGTAAATTTTCCCTTATAACTGCTAATTACCTTGAGCAAGGAATTCACTCTATTGTGCTTTGGTGCAACCAGCCTAACAAACGTAGTAGGTGGTTTATCTGGGAATAATAGGACCAGCACGGTGCTTCGATGTCGTGATGCAAACGCGAGTAAGACATGCGGTGATGCGTACACTTTCCGGTTACAATTCACCTTTACTCATCTGATAGCTGACTGTAAATCAGCACAAGGTTTAAATTTAAATTTTAAAAGTATAATCGAACTTAGCGTAGAAAAGATCGGTAAAACTTAAGAGTTTTAGCCACAACACAGTATAAACAGAATATTGTGTCCACGGCAATTGTTCTTCTCACAGCACCTGATTAAGAATGCACAAAGATTGAGGGCATAGTAAGGATTATAAATGTAAGATTTGCGTGCTTACCTGCTCAGTGATTATGAGTTGCCTTCTGTTCAGTTCAGTTTCGGTGATCGCTTATCCTTTTGAGTCGCTTAGACATGCATTTGAGCTTCGGCAGAAAATAGCCAGAGTTTGGAGTACAGGCTATCGAGACACTTCCTAAATTGTTATTGGTCCTCCCCTGGGTCGGTGTTTGTCTAATGACGTTTCATACATTCTGTTGTGTTGTCGTGCATCTTTCGGTGGTATGGCCTGCTTTATTATTCTAAATTGTAGCTAGCACTATACATGTATGGAAATTGATAGTTTTTTGATATTTTGAATCATACCATCGAGGTGTGGTCAATTCAGTTACACACTTATTCAAACTTATAGTGGTGTTTCGTGTGACATAATCCATTGCTTTGGTCAGAATGCATCGTCAAGAATATTAGTTCACAGTAATAAGTATTGGAGTAATAATTATAATGACCACAAGCATCGATACAACATCTGCTGCTCGAACTATCACGGGATTACGCTGTTGTCGATCCCGGGGAAGGGGTACACTATTACTGTTACACTGTTTTCGATATTCATGCTACGGTTGACGGTTCAAAGGAATTTTCGAGTAAACCAAGCAGGCTTTCGAATAAAGTGCACTTGCAGCAACCAATTCTTTTCACTGGGCCGTGCCATGGAGCAATGCTTCCAATTTCAGCTACCCTGGTACGACACCTTCATCGATTTTCGCGCCACATTTGATGTTTGAGAGCAGATCGGTGCCATCATAGAAAGGACGTACGATGGATTAATTTGTGCGATAGCTGATTGGCTGATTTACGAAATCAAAAATGGCGTCACAGGGCAATGTTCTCTCCCTTTTGCTGTTTGGTATATTAGTAGATCAAATTCTATGAAACAGCGCTGAATGGCACTATGTGGACTGCCTCCTATTGGAACAGAACCGAAATCAAGGTATGTAGCGAGAAAGCTAACCAGATTACACTATACCGATTACATCGTCGCACTGGACGACAGTGAAGAAGGCATTCGCTAGTTGAGTGAAACAGCATTCACGACTGCAGTGAAGACAAACCTCTAATCGAATCTTGCAAAGGTCAGAGGTGTACCGTGGAAACAGCAAACCGACAAATCCAATAGTTTAAGAGTTCGAGGGTTAGTCTTTGATCTTTAGAGCTAACATGGCTGCAGAAAAGTAAAACCATCGCCGTATGTTTGGTGAGTCATGAGATTCTATACGTTGGGATTCGTTCGCTCTCCCCCCCCGACAAGTTGGACAATGATGGAACATGAAGAGACTGCGCCAACGACATACTTAAAGGTTGTTCGAATAACCTTTCAAGTGTGGAGCGTGTCATTTCATAACATATGAAAATACGGCTCATTTAGCACAATGGAAATACGAAATTATATTTTATCTTCACGCAGCATGCCGTCACTATGGACCACGTTTATGTGCCTGTTTCACGGATTTTTACAAATTGAAACTAATGGAACGTAAAAGCGCGTCGGTCAGTGGCCATAACCAAAGACGACTAAAAATATTACTCCAAAGAAGGTACGGTAGTTTTCTGTCACTATCCTAAGCCATCCTTCTGCTTTTTGCAAAACAAATCCATTTCTGTCACTTTCTTTATGTAACTTGCTACGATGTTGATATTCAAAGAGAAAAAGGCCTCTCGCAAAATACAGATGTTCTGTTTCGAAGGGTGAAAAAAAATGGTCGAAACTTACCTCTTCTAGACAAACTGCTCTCGCGCCTCGAACGGAGGTTCAGCTTAGCGGGTGTTTGCAATAGTCCCCGTTCAGATGCCTGAAAATTTCCTGGATAAAACGAAACCAGTTTCTCAAAAATAATAGTTGAATACGACTTTGTACGTTATGGTTAGGAAAGGGAGTCAGCCGGCGCCACTGAGTTTGAAACAATATTTAGGAGATGATTATTTAATCTTCGAGTAACAACGGACTCTGCAGGAAGATGAAGAGGAAGTACAAGTGAGGGAACAAAGTTTATTGGGTTTGCGCCATTAGTGGAAAATTAGCACGTGTGGTCAGTTATGACTTTGAAAGAAAAAAATAAATCGAGGTTACAACTTCTAATGATTATTGCATTGGAGAGTGACCTGTCGTGTAAATCAAAGCAGCCAGAGGATGGGGAGGGGTAAGCAGGCGCAGAATGGAACAATATTGCCGTATACGTATATTCTGGTATAACCACACAGGAATACCATGCTGTCCCTGTTATTCTCAAGCCAACGACCGAAACGATTGGCTCTTGGTACCCGTTTCTCGGCTGGGTGCGCAGAAGCAAAGTGGGGTTGTGAAATTTTGGTCAATGTTATAAGCAATTAAGACAAAAATTTCCCATCAGCTAATTCAAACCTCACACCTCCGGAGTTCAAAGTTACCTTCTTCGGCACCGTGCCATGACGCCGAATGCTTTGCTTTGATTTCACTTATGTTGATGAGAGATAACAACAAGAGCGGTATGTCACTTATGAACTGTCACGCTGCATGAACATGTTACTGATGCCCTTATAATGCTTTTGAAATACGAGTTGTTGGTAGTGACTTTCTGTGTGCTAGCTGTTTCAACTCTAGTTGTATAAAGCCGTAAACCTTGATTGAATCCAAGAGTTAACATCCACTAACCCATACGTATCCCTATGCCTATCGATCATAAAATTTACGTGCTGATGCCAAAGTAATTGATATACAAACATGAGC